GCCTTGAATGCCAAATCTTTCTTCTTTGAGGATGAAGAGCCCACTTGAGGAGTAATGTGCATGTACATCTCATGTGCATTGATCTTCCCCAATATTTGAGTTGGCGTAGCTGCGGAAAGATCACCTTGATGAAGCACCGTCACAATATGCCCATACTTGTCAATGGGGAGGACACTCAAGATCTTTCTCACAATATCAGATGGTTGCATTTGAGTGAGTCCAAGCCCATTGACCTCCTCTATAAGAACATTCAAGTGAGAATACATTTCATTAGCACTTTCACTAGGAAGCATTTCAAATGAATTAAGCTTCTTCATCACAAGGTGATAGCGTTCCTCACGCTCACTCTTAGTTCCCTCATGGAGCGCATAAATGTCCGACCATAGTGTATGGGCGTATTTGTGATTCCGCACACGGTTAAAGATGTCCTTGCAAAGGCCTCTAAAGAGGTTCTTTCTAGCCTTTGCATTCCACTTCTCGTAGTTTGCCTCAACACCAATAAGGTTGGCGGGGTCCTTAGGTTTTGGAAAGCCTTGTGCGGCGGCTCTATACACTCCAACATCTATAGCCTCTAGGTACGCCTCCATGTGAATTTTCCAATAAAGAAAATCATCTACCTCAAAGACGGGAGGGGGTCCATCCCCGTGGGACAACTTGCTCTAGGCGGTTAAGCCTAATTTAGGAGCACTCTGTTCGATACCAATTGAAAGGATCAAGATGCCCAAGATGGGGGGTGAATTAGGCTAATTCTAAATTTCTTCCAATAAGTAAACCCTACACTTAGCCCATTTCACCCCCTTATGCCTAAAAGTGTTTCTATTGTTCTACCACACAAAAGTTTTGCACCCCAGGTTACAATCCTACTCTAGCATGGCAATTCTAGGAATGTAAAGATATGAATTGAATTGCTCAAATATAAATGCTCAAAGTAAAGAGAGGGAGAGGAACGCGGCGATGTTTTTCCATGGTATCGGAGAGTCACCACTCTCCATTAGTCCTCGTTGGAGCACCCGTGCAAGGGTGTAGCTCCCCCTTGATCCGAGCAAGGATCAAGTGCTCTCTATGGGCTGATTCTTCGACACTCCGTCGTGGTAAATCTCCCACAACCGCTCACACCATGACATGGGTCATCCACAAGCTCCGCCGGATGATCACCAAGCTTCCAATCACCACCGAGCCATCTAGGTGATTGCGATCACCAAGAGTAACAAGCATAAACTCTCACTTGACCAAGACAAGCCTAATGACAAAGGTGGATGCACACTTTCTACTCCCTATACACTAATGAGGTCCTTAATTTTGGATTCTCAAATCTCAATCACCCCACTAGGCTCTTGCTCTCTCTTGCACTCCAAAGTGTTTCCTCAGCTGAAAAAATGGGCAAAGGGGGGGAATTGGATGAGTAGGAGAAGTATAAATACTCCCCACTCAAACACATAACCGTTGGGGCCAACTCCCCTTTTTCTGCGTGACCATCGGACCGGCCTCTCGACGGCGTCGGACCCTAGACCCTCGGTCCGACTCTCACAGAAGAAGCAGTACCCGTACTGTGTTAGAAGGAGCCATTGTGGCGCGCCAGCTACAGTAGGGTCCGACGACCACTCGTTGGCCCAGTCCGATGCACCAAAAACCTCTCGGTGTAGATTCTAGAAACCGTCGGACCAAGACACAGTGTAGTCTGACGCTTCCCTGTTCTCTGAGTTCAACAACTCCTGGTTCAACCGCGTGAGTGAACAGTTCACGCGTCCTGTCCGACGATGGCATTCTCCAGGGTCCGATGATTCTTCTTCACTTCGCCTGCTTTGTGGATGCGCCACGTAGGCATCGGACCCAGGTAGGTTGGTCCGACGACCATACCTCGGCACGGTCCGACACCTACCCAATCCCTTCTTTCACTTCGGATTCAAAAACTTTGTTAATGGGAATTGTTCCATTTAATCTTTGGGCAGTCCATAAGCTACCTAGTGCTAAGTTTGACATGTGTGCACCACACCTAACACATTAGACTCACCTAGGTCAAGCTACTAGTTCATACACCCCTTAATAGTATGGCCAAAGAAAAACAAAGTCCTAAACTACTCTAAGTGTCCCTCCAACACCAATCGACACTTAGAACTAGTCCGTTCTTAACCTTGTCGTCCATCCTTTGAAAACCGAAATGATTTTCATCGATAGGGGCATGAAAACCATAATTGCCCAATCAATCACCATTACCATGACCTAACTCAATTTGTCTCTGCAAAACACACATTAGTCACAGTAATGTTGTGTCGTCATTAATCACCGAAACCCAACTAGGGGCCTAGATGCTTTCACTTATAATGTTTTTGCCATCCATACATATATATTGGTTGTTTTATCTGAGAGAATCTGACACATACACATTTCATTATGTGTAGTCACGGTGATACATATGAGAGGTAAAAGAAGAATATTGGTGAAGATAGAGACGACGCCAAAGTTAATGTTTTTTAAGCCCACACTAAATATCATAACCTGTTATTTTTGAACATTGAATGTAACCGAGCAATCACATGGGTCACGTGGGGTCGTGCTTCGGCATTGGCATGACTCGGCACATGATGAACTTAAACAGAACTGCCCCTAAAATGTATTTCTACTAGGGCGGTTTGTAATCTACAGTGCTCCTCGTCATACTTACAGGTGGTTCCTTTTGTGGTCCGCCTCTATTAGAAATGAAAGCCAGTTCAAAAACCATTTCTGTACTAGTTGGCACGTGCAAGGAAGAAGGACCGGCAGCGGTAGGTGCACTGATAGAGTCTCCTGTGTCACCATCCGTGTGTAGCAACAGCTCCTCCACTACCATGGAACAGAAAATTCATGTCACATATTTGTTGATGTGTGTGACCAATAATATCTAATTCTTCATTGCTTGCGAATGATCCGGCAGATCTACAGTGGACCAGCTCCACCGTGGATCTAAGATCTCACTAGTCCTAAGGAAACTTTTTGGGAGGGCTCCACAATGAATCTGGATGGCTGGCCTAACAACCAACAAATTGTGGCCTAACAGCAACCCATCGGTGGAGCTCCTCCTCCTCCTTTGTCTCATTGATAACTTGGGCCCGCACGTCAGACTTTATCTTCTTCCTGTAGAGCATCGACACTTGTTGGGGCTGTACCAGCGTGGCCTGGGCGGGGCCCGCCTGGCCGGCGTCTGCACGTTGCGGCTAGAGGCAAGCATGGCGCAGCCATGGTGGGACCAGGGCAGCGGGTGACGATGGCCATGGCCGGTGTAGACGAGCGCGACGGAGAGAGGGCAAGCGCGGTGTTAGGAGAATAGAAGGATGAACGAAACTTTTTTTTTCTTGTGTAAGCAATGGCATGGTGAGTAATTTTAGTCAACTCCAGGAGTCCATGAGTTTTTTTAGCTCTAGATCTAGAGTTTTGGTGGATCTAAATTTCATAGAGGTAAAGTGTTTGAGTAAAGAGATCATACCTGAAGTTGTTTTTGATAGATACAGAGCACTTTAAGCTCCGCCAAGATTGTTGACTATACAAATTCGGACTTTCGAAGCAGAAAGAGCGAGGCTTGGGTTGTGTCACACTAACACAAAGCGCAAGTGGGCCATGGGCATTAGGCGATCCAACCGGACATGTTTCCATCGTGGTCCGTTGCTCTCATGGGAATTCCCAAGGTTATCCTGTAGCAAGCTGCAAGTAGCAACGGGCCTCCAATCCGGACAGGCCTATACGATAGCCCTGTAGTACATGGTTTGGATTTTTCGGGTTCTCGTTAATTTTGGAGCCAACCCGCGTGTAGCGTATTGGGCGGTCAGGGTTGGTTTCCGACGGCTTCAGAGCTGGTTCCATGAATCTCTAGGTAGGGTTGGTTAAGTGGTTTCCACGTGTTACGCACGAAGCAGGACGATATTGCAGCTGGCAGCGATGGCTGGTGGCAGGTTGGCTGCCGGAGCATGCTGGAGGGCATCCTGATGTCGACGTGCACCGCCAGTCTACAAGTGATCCATCTTCTCAGTCTGACTCTGAGAAGTCCATCTCATATTAGATTGCACTTGTGTCCTTGAAATTGCACTACAACGGTGGCACTTTAATTAGTTATTTTCTACTTATTAGTTATCATTTGCTACTAATTTGGTATTTTGGACAGTTAAATTTTCATGAATCATGTTGTAATGTCATTTGGTATTTTGTAATGTTACATAGAATTGTGGAACCTTAGAAACATATTTGTGTTCATCGAATTTTAAATTTGCCATGTTTTTTTTATCAATTACTGGTGTTTTTCATGTTTTTTTATAAAAACACTATCTGGCATAGCGTCGCTATAGCTGCATTGCTTCTTGAAAAAAAAATTACCACTATTTTCGATAGCCCGCTATTTTAAACATTGGCGTGCTTCTCGTCAGCGTGCCCGCCGTCATGCTCGTGGGTTGCCTGGGTTGAATCCGTGACAGGTAGAAGTAGAACTGCGGCCAGTTTCGATGCAAACCAACCCAGCCCGTATATATAAATAAAATATAGTTGCCCGGTCTTATATGGATTTGGGTACGGGTCGGTATCCGGGTTCAGCAAACCCACGAGCTGGGAAAGGCGAGTCCGGTAAGAAGTTAGCCCTTGTTACCTCAAAATCTCAAAAAATGCTATAGTACCTGTCACGTCGAATATTTACGGCCTATACATGGAGTATTAAATGTAGACGAAAAAAGAACTAATTACATAATTTGGTGGAAAATTACGAGACAAACATTTTAAGTCTAATTAGTCCATATTTAAACACTAATTACCAAATAAAAACAAACGTGCTACGGTAGCTCCAAATTCCAAATTCCTATAACTAAACACGCGCTTACTACGAAGAATAAAAACAGAATCCGCCCAAGACAGAGAGGGGCAGGGCTGCTGCCAACTCGTGGCGACAACACGATTCGCATCATCCGCTCCCGGGAGCCAAGTCGCAAACTTGCAACTTCCACAGCCATCTCGCGCAGGCAGTATCTGTAACCCTAATCATAGCCATGGCCGGCGGCAGAGGGCGCTCCCCGTCGCCGTACAAGCGCTATCCCTCCCGCGACGACGACGACGCACGATCCGGCGGCGCCTCCCCGAAGCGCCGCAAGCGCCACCACCGTCGTCGTTACGGCGACTCTGCGGCGGCCAGCGACGACGTCGAGGACGGGCAGATACTCGACGGCGCTTCCGCTGCTGCGGCTCCTCCTAGGAGCCGCCGGGAGCATGGAAGAGGATGGAGGGGCAGCGGTGTTGCTGGTGGTGGATGCGATTATTATACTCCTCGTACACACGGAGAGAGAAGCAGCAGCAACCACAGTAGATTGGATCGAAGAGGAAGTGCACGCGGCGGCGATGAAATCAGGGAGAGGGAAAGACGGAGCGGTAATTCAAGCCATGGTGATCATGCGCGGTGGGATCCGGCAGGCAAGGATCCGCATGACAGGCACAGGGATTCTACAAGCTCATCAAAATATAGCATATCTGATGGTTACAAGCAGACATTGAGATTTGGGGACATATCTATAGATGTTGGCCATAATATCCGGAGTCATGGAGAAATGAAGAAGGGAACTTGTTTCGAGCAGGAAGACCATGAGCTTGAGCGGTACAAGGAGAAAACTGAATTAAGCATATTGCAGCAACAAGATGACGCCCGTGGGAAAGTTGAGGTGGAATCTGTACCAAGTAGCCGAAATGTGAAGGCACGAGCAGGAGCATTAACGGATACAGGCAAAGCGGCCCATCTGCAAAATAGCACCTCTCGCTCTATGGCCAATAGCAAAGCTGAAAACAAGCAAGATTCTCAAGAGGTGATCGTTGACAGAGCAAACATCACCGTGGGAAAGCCTCCTGCTGCTAGCAGTACTGCTGGAAGTGGAAGACCACCTGCTGCTGCTGGGATTCGGAAATCTGGCAAGCCTGACGGTTTGCACAATGAAAGAAATGTTCATCCTGACAACTGCAGAGGGCTACAACGCTTACCGCTTCGGGGAGTTGCTGGGTGGCCGTTACGAGATTACAGCAGCCCATGGGAAGGGCGTGTTCTCAAGAGTCGTTGGGGCAAAGGATCTTGAAGCTGGTACAGATGCTCCTGACAGAGTAGCCATTAAGATAATTCGCAACAATGATACAATGTACAGGGCCGGTAAGCAAGAGGTTTCAATACTGGAAAAACTCAACGGTGCGGACCACGACGACAAGCGCCACTGTGTGCGGTTTATTTCAAGTTTCAGGTACCGGAACCATCTTTGCTTAGTTCTTGAATCTCTCCACATGAACCTGCGTGAGGTGTTGAAGAAATTTGGTCGTAACATCGGGCTTAGACTCGCTGCTGTGAGGGTATATGCAAAGCAGATGTTCATCGCCCTGAAGCATCTGAAGACCTGCAAAGTTTTGCACTGCGATATAAAGCTGGACAATATCATGGTCAACCAGGCTAAGAATGTGCTCAAGCTATGCGATTTCGGCAGTGATATGCTTGCCGGAACGAATGAGGTTACACCTTACCTTGTCAGTCGTTACTATCGAGCACCTGAGATCATTCTTGGGCTGCCCTATGACCACCCATTGGACATGTGGTCAGTTGGTTGCTGTCTCTATGAGCTTTGCACAGGAAAAGTCTTATTCCAAGGAAAATCAAACAATGAGATGCTTCGGCTTCATATGGAGTTGAAGGGCACCTTCCCTAAGAAGATGCTTCGCAGTGGTGCCTTTACGATGCAACACTTTGACCGAGACCTGACATTTCAAGATACTCACGATGACCCTGCCAAAGGAAAGGTTGTGAGAAGGTTAATTTTCAACATTAAACCAAAGGGCATTGGTTCTTATATTTCAAACATTCCGGGAGAGGATGCAAAGACACTATCCGGTTTCAAAGATCTTCTTGATAAAATGTTTGTCTTAGATCCAGCGAAGAGGATAACCGTACAAGAAGCACTTAGCCATCCTTTTATTACTGGCAAGTGAAGACAAGATCTACTCCCTTTTGACATTGTTTAGCTAATAATTAACTAACACTGTTAAATTCTAATCAATGGTATTTTTGTCTTTGTGTCTGGCGAGCTTTGAGATCATCTGAGCACGTGGATGAATCATGCATGGAACTATAGAATAAATGGAGCTATGTTCTGTTGCTTGAAAGAAAAATAGTTTGTGTTGCCTATTCGTGTGGGCATTCTAGTGCGCTGCTGTCAGTGTGCATTGTTTTTAATCCCTACTAAAATTCAACCTTAATATAAAAAAAGGTATAAAAATCTTTTGCGTATTTCAGAGTAAAAAAAAGTTATGCACAAACTAAAATGAAATAGGTGAAAAGAGGAATGAGAAATTAGTCAGCAACTCAGATCTGCATGTTAGATATTGATCTCTTAGGCATTGCTATTTGTCATGGGCCCATCCACAGCCCCCGTGGCTGGCCTGACGAGGCCTAGAGGAGGGCCCGGGCCTGGGCCAAGGAGCCACCTTCCGAAGGCTCCACCAGAGCCCACCCTTAAGGACTATAATATAAGAGGTCATGTACTCATTTGGATCTTAAGCGGAAAAAAAGAGCATTCCTCTGCTCTCTCTCTTCCTTTCTCCCTGCGCCTCCCTCTTCCTCTGCCACAACCATCCCCAACAGAGGCCTAACACATCTGGTATCAGCAACTATGACTCCATGTGCGACAACAACAACATGCCTGCAGAGCTGAAAGTATGACTCGAGGTCTTCTCCGCCAACCTCACCAAGCGCATGGACAAGGTGTAGGAGCACCTTATCAATCTTGACACTCGCCTGAGCAACATGGAGCATGGAGGCTCCATCAACAACTAGGAGCACGCTGACGCCGCAACAGCGACCAAGGGAAAGCTGGAACTTGACGCCACGCGGCCAAGGATCTAGAGGAGGAAACCAAGCGTGCCATGGAGATTGTCGATGTCTCAGTGCAACCTACTAGGCGAGCTGGCATCCCTGCGCAAGACGGGGACCGTCGATGACTATACCGAGCGGTTCCTGGCTCATGTGGCACGCGTCGGGCCTCTTGACTAGCAACGGCAGGTCAACATCTACATAGCGGGCCTGCCGGAACCGCTGAAGACGAACATGGAGATCCAGAACCCGAGAGACATGGAGAAGGCCATGTCATTAGCATGGGCACACGAGAGACGGGCCTCCGTCGTTGCCGCCAATCCAGCAGCAACATCGGTACGTATTACAGCCCCTTCCCTATTACCTCCAAAGACAGCATCGTCAACACAAGCTGCAGCTTCTATACTGGCATCACCATCAGCAACACCACCCACTGCCGACTTGCGCTTTCAAGCGCCTTACCACCGAGGAGGTGGCGGAACAACATCGGATGGAGCTATGCTTCAAATACGAAGAGCAGTTCACCCTCAGCCACAAGTGCAACCACCTCTTCGACATCATCCTCGTCAACGACTACAACATGGAGGAGGCCGATCAAGCCTTATGATGCTCATGGCGCCCAGAGCTCGGGTGTGCGAGGGTGGCACAACATGTTCTTGGCACTTGGCAGGCGCCGTCCTGGGACACGATGTGTGCATCCTCATCGACACTGGGTGGACATCACTACCGGCTGGACAGCTGACACTAAGGGTCAGAGTCTATCACTGTTGATTCCCTATTGCCGGATCGAAATCCGACGGCGAGAGCCGGTTTAGAGTTGACAGTGAATAAAGTTTGTGGCCTAGTGACAGCTAACAGTGTAGTATAAGTGCCTTCATATCTGAACTAACAGAAAAAGTAATGCCTCCTGTTTCTCTCTCTTTTCTAAGCATTGGAGTTGCAACGATCAAAGAAAATTGAAGCCATAGTACTTGTACAACTAATCTCTATCTAATATTAAAGAACAAAGTGTTTTTATCAACCGGCTTTTTTTTTATTGCGAGAATACTCTGATTCTTCGTCAAAACATTTAACGCTTGGAGACCTCCACGGGCAAGACAGAGATAGCGTACTCACAATCCTATGATCCTGCCTGCCCCGGACAATACGAGTCGGCCTAGGAATCGTTTATGGGCAGATCATAGTGGGATCAGGATACGTACAGAAGGATCATTAGAATCACGACACAAATATGTTTCTATGCCATTTTGAGATGTGACGATCTGTCAGCGCTCCTGGACATGGATTAGACGCTGCCATCGATGGCAAAGATGGTGCACTGCCGAATATATGTTTGATGATGCAATAAGCCGATAATGCTTTGACGAGGACATCCGTCAAAGCGCATCCGTCCGGACGCCCTGTTCCCGGACCTGTGCAGCGATCGGATTCAATAGGCCTACTCCGCTCCACTATCAGCACGGTTTCTCCAAAAAGAAAAAAGGCCAGCGACATTTCCTTTTTTTCACCACCGCACACATGCGATCCTTCCCCCACCACTGCACGCATGCGACCACCGCGAGCTCCTCCATCGTGCCGCACACATACTACCGCCGTGGGAGCCTCCATCGCGTGGTCCGCTCACTGCGGCCTTCTCCGGTGTAGCGGCGCCGCACCCGGCCCCATCCTGCTTTGCTCCGCGCCACACTACCCTTACATTGCTCCTGTCGCTCGCCCCCGCTTGCTCCTACTCCTGCTTCACCGTCGCTGCTCTTGCACCTGCTCCGCGCTGCTTTGCCGCTGCTCCGCACACCCACCTCGCTGCACCTGCCGTTGCTCCGCCGCCCGTCCCGCTGCTCATGCTCTGCCTGCCCCGCCCCGCCCGATGATGGCGACAGCAGCTGCCAGCGCAAGGAGAAGCACCGGGCCTGCGCGGAAGCGCCCTTCGGCCTCGCTTCCTGCTACGGCTGTGGTGCCCCGATACAGACGATGGATAATGCCGCACCAGGATACGATGCATGTTGTAAGCGCACATTTCAAATGTTTTAGATATTTTAGAGATATGTTGCAATTATTTCATAATGATGTAAAACTAGATCATGATGATGCATATGTTGCAAGCATCTATCCCCAATGTTTCATCTGTTTTTTAGACGTATGTTGCAAGTGTGTTGATTTGATGTTGCATATGTTTCACACATGTGTTGCAACTGTTTTATTTGGATATTGCGTAAGTGTTTTTGCAAGTGTTTTAGGCGCATGTTTCAATTGTTTCATCTGTCTTTTTTGTATGTTGCAAGTATTGCATCTGGATGTTTTAAAAGTAGATCGGTTGTTTCATATGGGATGAAGCGAGAGGAGGTGTGAGCGGTCCCCACCGAACGCACGGTGCTAGGTGACGTTTCGGCAGTGGGGGCTCCCGTGGGGTGCGCGAGATGCAAGCGTGGGCGAGCGATGTTCGGACGGCATGGGCCCATGCCTTTGGGACTGCAATAGCGTCCATTATTCGCGACCTGCTACATTGACACCAATCTGCTACCAACCTGATAGGACGGTGTTGGCGCACCCTGTCTTTGAGGCTCGTGAAAAAACAATGGGGAGCATCGTTTTCAAAAGAAAAAAAAAAGGGGGTCGGGTGGAAAGGAAGAAGAAGCGAATAAGAACGATGCCCTGTAAATGGATTTATCACAGTACTTGTGTATCTTTCGGCTTACTTGTCATCAAATGACAGTATTTTGTTCTGCTTACAGTCAGTTTAATCCTGTGATTCTATTCATGCTTCCAAATATCAGTTTAAAAAAAATCGAGTTTCTCATTCATCTATTTTCTTATACAAAATAGATATTTATCATTGGTACAAATGTATTTTATACTATACAAATATTAAATTAAACTTATTACAAATAAAAAAAACTCATAGTATTTCGATAGTACAATTTAATCTTACAATCGGATGCTGCTCGTATGAAACGATCATATTTGGCACCAAGCCTGCTTGACCTCCTCAGCCGAATCAGAGGGTGTGCTGACGCCAGACGCCCAACCTCAGCAAGCAGCAGGAGCAAGCAGCAAGGTAGGACGCGAGCGCATGAGGTGAGGACGCCAGAGGAGCGGACCCCATCTTCATCTGAGCTGAAACGTTTCGTGTCACGATTCGTGATATGAACGACACGTTTGCTAATCTTCTACAACTAAAAAGAATAAAAGTAAGATAATTTTTTTGTGCGACTTTTTTTTTTGGTCGCTTCTCCTTCCCGTCAGTGTGATACCGCGTCCCCCGCCGCCCGCTCCCTTCCCTCCCCTCAAATCACGCTCCATCCCCCTGCAATCACGCTCCCTCCCTTCCCCATGCGCGCACCCAAGCCGCCGCCACCTCTCCCACGTTCCCTCCCCCTCCCCACACATTCATCCACGCCGCCGCCGTTCCCCTCCAAGCCAGCCCCGCCCGGCAAGGCCATCCGGCTGCGTCTCGCCGCGGCGGGCACAGCAGGCGACTCCTCCTCGTCCCGCCTCCCTACCGGAAGACGACGCCATCACCACGGCAAGGGAGCCCAGCATAGCTCGCTCGCTCTGGCGCCCTGCGAGCAGCAGCAGCACCCCCGCTCTGCAGCCCTGACCTGCCCTCGCCTCGTACAGCCTCTCCATTGCTAGGACACCACAGCTCCCTCCAGCCGATTGGTGAGGAGCTGCTGCAGCCCTGCAGGAACGCGGCAAGGTCAGGCCACCGACCCAACTCGCCTTCTGTCACCTCATCCCTGCCCTCACCAGGTCTTCTTTTTACTTTTTTTTCCTGGTCAATGCATTATTCTCCCTGTGGTTGCAATGCCCCTACTTGGCTTCTCTGGTTGGATAATAGATGATAGATGATGTCCAGTTAGAAGATGGCGCATGAATTTTAGCTGAAATCTGTGACCTATGAAAATAGAGTGCTAAGATTGAGTTATTCACAGTTGAAATGCTGAATAAAACAAATTTAGGTTCCTATTTTTTTCTTTAAAAACTAATTTAGGGCTAACTTGATGGAATGGGCTCATTAGTATATACTGAAGATTGGGCACTGGGTTACGATCTGCCACTGCCAAAGCAAGACGGCATCGGGCTAGGGCATACAAATTAGTAGCTGCGACCTGCAGGTATTAAG